ACATGAATCAATATAACATCTGCAAAATGCCGCTGCTGCAAATCTTTACTTTTATAATTAATGTCATGAACATGACATGCTTGATCAATCTTATTTACTGGATGCTCTCGTGGTCTTGGTTGGTCTCGATCATCAAGTCGGATGTCAAGTCTAGTTTCAGGACTACAATAATTATATCCAGGAAGTTGTTTCTCACCAACATATTTAGCCCATGGCAATCCAGGTAATTTTTCTAAAGAAGCAGCGCTATCTCCACTGTTTTTATCCCTGAATCAGACATGCAGATAAATTTATATTTTTTCGTGCCGCATTTCACGCATTTACCTGTTAATGCAAGTAGCTTAGTTTTCGTTATTATCGTTGCCAATCCAATGGTGGGTGTAAATAATCTACATCGAACAGAATATAGACTCATGTTATTAATAATATGGATGCAATAATTGACTTTTTTGGCGACACGAAAACAGGAACCAGTAAAGCACCATCCAGCATTACCAAATTCGATAAGGATGATTATAATAGGTCCATCTGGATCAGGTAACACACAATTATTATTAAATTTAATAATGAGATGGTTGAGATGGAGCAAATTATATTTAATAGCACCGTCTGTAGATGATCAGCATTGCTACAAAGTACTTAAGGATTTAACGAGAAAGCAAAATCAGTTAATAACGACGGTATTGATATTATTGATTTTATCGCAGATATTGATGTAGCCCCTTCCACTTAGATGGATTCATTAATAATCTCGTAGTATCTGATGATGTGATGTTGGACAAACAATCTAATCCAACTAGAATAGTTTCACGAGGTAGACATAAAAATACGGACGTGATTTATGTCCCTCAGAGATACACACATATACCTAAAGTGATTAGAGATAACTGTAATAGTTTCAACCAGAGGAAAATTTTGTTTCAAATGGTGCTAAAAGTATTGCTAAAAAGCCAAACCAATGAAAATGATCGAAAAGTAAAAAAAAAAATAAATAAAAAAATATAAAAAAAAGCAGGGGGAGTGCTACTGCCATATGTGTATAAAATACGTTTTAATATTTTTTCTTCTCAGTCGAATGTCAGTCATTATAGTTATAGCTCCTCCCTAAATCATTCAAAATGATTCATTTATTTTAATTCGTCATTTATTTTGTTTATATGTTCATAAGAAAGGCAGTGTATTTATGTGTGTTTTGCGAGAGGATCCACTTTGACGTGTAACTATTCTGTGTGTGCGCGTGTGTGTGTGTGTTTTAATAACATGAGACGATTAATTATAACAATATGTCTTCTTAGAAATATTATTTTCTCTAGTTTCTACATGAAATAAAAATAACATACAACTTCTGGGAAGATGAGCTGATAAAATTGAGATTGTTGATACTAGATAAAAGGAATGAGTTCCCTCTGAACATTTTTGCAGTACACTATACAACTAGACAAGAACGCAAAACTGAAAATAAAAATCACTTAAATTCATCATAGATTTTTAAAACAAAATTGCTTCTAACTGGTCAATTAATACGGTGCAATTTGCAGAAGTCTATCATATGACGAATTGTAATCAATATCAATTTACATTTCATTACTGGATTTCAAGGAGAGGGGCATGCTTTTTTAAACTCTTAAAATCTACATTACATCTTTTAAAAAAGACAAATAAAATATGTTGTGAAAAACCGTTTAAATGATCTCTCCTTTCTCTGCATGCCAGCAAAGTATGAAATTTCTATGGAAAATTGTAAAAACTTAAAATTAATATGTAAGAAAAACATAAAGCTAAATAATTAGTTTTTAGATTGCAATCATCAACACAATCAAATTTCTGGGGAATAAAAATAATAAAATTATGAAAAAATGCACACCTAGTTACTAAACTTTACTAATATAGTACTCCAATTTCGTAGCGGTTGAAGCTACGATATCGTAGATAGTTACTAAAATGCATATAAATATATTAAATATTACATTCAAACACACTAAAATAAAGTCCAATAAAGTTGCTTATTTCAATTATCTAGTGAATTTAATTAATGTTTAAATGATTATGAAAAACAATGCACATATCGTAACAGCACTGAAAATCGGACTCGGTGTATAACTAATATTCTCGTTTCTAAATTTCTTCACATATTAGGCCTATATGATAAGTTTCACATTATATTTTCACTGATAAATTAGCATTATAATCCATTTAAAGGTGGTTTGAGGTAGGTTTGTGGTATTTTGAGATAATCCACGGACCCAGAAAAATCTGTGTTTGCTTCATACAGACAACCATCTGCATCTTATAAAAGCTTGATGTTGCTCATTCTGTCTGCGTAAAATGTAGTCAGCAAATAAAATCTCAGTACTTTTTAGATCTTTTGCGGAAGGACAGAATAGATTTCAAAACAAGATATCAGACTGAATTTTCCACCCAGGTAAACGTCGTTTTTTTTTTTTTTTAAGTATATCGGCCTAGTGATATGTAGAGAAATATTATATAAGGTTATTATTTAAAACAAAAGTTCTCAACAAGTTAAAATATTTACCATATAGGCCTTATTATAGTCCCTATGTGTTTACTCTGGTACCCAGCTATTTACTCTGAACCCAGATCATTATAAGAACCACGGTGGACGTCATACATTGTAGGACTACAGTATATTTAGGCCTAGCTACGATGTAGCCTCAACTCGTGTCTACAAAGTAGGACTAAGGCACTAATATTAGTACTAATTTAGGCCCAACTTGCATAGAAGAATCAAACAGAAGGCAAACAAAGAAAGAATAATAATAAAAATATCCAATGGAAAGATAAATTTGGTAAAAAGCCTGCCTAACACAAAAATCTTGTATACACACAATATAGCATATATCACATATCACACACAGGACAGGATAACGGCCTTGTACATATATATCTGTAAGGGAGTACAACCACCTTTTTCTCAATTAAAATTGGGGAACCAGACAGGGTACCTTGACTATTATCAATATTAGCTAGATCAATCCCAAATTCAAAAATGAACCTTTTTTTCCCAATTCTTTTTGATATTTTATGAAAATGCGACACTATTAACCTTTGTGGAATATACAAACCAAAGCCATTAATTTCTGACTTGTGGGGAGGACTCTAGCTATGATGTTGTAGCCTCAGCTTATTTTGTTGTGGAGTCCTGAAAGGTTACCAGATTATATAGTTGAGAATTTGTGAGGAGCCCACACAAAAAGAAGAGTCTCTGAGTTGTATTTCATGATATTTGGCATCCTCACAAATATCAATCTAGATATATAGATTTACTGATCATAAATATAAATTATTTTAAAATACTAATTTTATTCAACCAAAGTCTATTCAGTCTTGTTTATTGAATGCTCTGCACCTTAACTATGATAAATAAACTTCTCGAAGAAAATATCATTAATTAATCACTATGGACTTTTACAGTGGTGGCCAGGTACGAAACTTTGGCAAGAAAAGAGCACATTGAATCTAATCATCACAACATAGGGTATTACAGATTTGTTTATGAAATGTGTAGATTTCATTGTGACATCACAGTAGATGACGTTCAATCCAGATTGTACTGGATCACTCCTTAAGTTTGATCAAGCCCAAAAATACCAACATACATTAATAATATTCCTATATGAACTTCTCGGTGTGTGTGTGTGTGTGTGTGTAAAAAGTGACCGTCTAAAGGAATATAGATGTATGAGGATCCAAAGGAATTTGGATAATTGCAATTTGAAGGAATGTTGAATCAAATTTGAAAAACCGACACCTATTAATGAAATAATTGGTGATAAATGCCTACATAAACTATATGACTTTTTCTATTGATCCATCTTCATCTATTAACCCATTTTAAAGTCACACAGGTTTTTTTGTCATTCAGAACTGACTATTTCACTGATGGATGTCACTTTTTAATTTGAGGATACATACTTTTAAATGGAAACTATTCACTTTACATGGATTCTCACACAGCCAAATTCCTTTGGAAGGTCATTGTATATATAACCTGAGAAATACATACATTATTGGTTTTGATAGACCCTACTATTTCTGGACCCAATAAAGTACATAATCACCATTGGCTAACAAGTTCTCTGCTTTTTTTCTTTCAGACATTGCTTGTCTGCTGGCTCAAATAGCAGTAAAAACAGGCAGAGAACAACTTGTTGGTCTACTAGTGACCACAGTTAAAATCTGTAGTGGTCAATAATTGTCAGCTGGGAGTTTTTTTATGCCATATTAGGTGCATAACATTTAAAAACCATGAGCTTTGTTTTGCACTGCATTAATACTTTGAACATCTTATTGCAAATTTCATCATCTTGACTTAAACTTGGAACTATGTGACTTTTTCTTCAAAGCATTAGAAATATTAGGAAAAATCACATCTAAAATAAGTCTGAGTGTATAGGTTGGGATGAAAAACATCCACAGGCACTTGTTTGTGTAAGTGAAGAAGGAAAACAATTAAAAACACTTTCTCCCTTTTGAACAAAGAAATGACAAACTTTGTGAAAGGTGACAAACTCATGTGGTTTTAAATCAGTCTCCTTCTGAATTTGTGATAGTTTTATTTATCCCATTGGTACATTCAGTCACTGTTAAAAAACTTAACCTGAAGAGGAACCTTCTAAATTTGCTTCTAATGTACGATTTAAGTACATTACAAATCATTTAATATTTGACAGTATTACTACCTTGTGAGTCGGAATTTGAATTTCAGGTGATTTAGTTGGCTTGAAGTTGTTCCCTTGTGTATGTGTGATTTTGGAATTTTAACATAGCTTTAACAATTTTTCAGTCACATCTCAACAATGTCTCCATTGTGGCAGTTCAAAGTGATATCTAGCACTGAGGCTTCATGCTACAGACTTGTAACATGATGTCCCATCCAGTTACATTATCCTGACACTGATCCAACCCATCCTAAAACAAACTTCTTAATATGGAGCACCTAGCTAGGCAGCTGTTAGTACCAGTTTTATAAGTCTTTTGTATGATTCTGCATGGAATCTAAACCACGACCTCCCACATCCGAGGCGGATGCTCTAACCACTAGGTCTCAAGAGCGGTCTTGTTCTCTTGTAAATTCAAAGTTGCATTAGTTTACATTGCACCTTGTTTGTTTCTTTTAAAGAATGCTGTCAAACATGTTTGATAAACCAGCACAATCTGAGTTCAGATTATCTGTTAATATATTTGTATTAAAATGTTTGGTTGTTGCTCTACCAAGGGTACCAATTTGATTTTAAAATTATTGTTAAGACCTGAAAAAACAGAGAAGCATCAAAGGATGATGATGATGATGGTCATGATGTAAATAAAATTTATTTGTCATATAGTAATTAAAAACAAAATCTGTATATCATTAAGTTTATTCTGTCATCAGTTTACTTAGTTTCAAAGGATGATGGTGATGATGAAAATAAAATTTACTTGTCATACAGTAACTAAAACAAAATCTGTATGTATTCAGTGAAAAACAGTTCTTCATGAGGACCAAAAATGAGCTATCATTGAAGATTTGCATTTTAGATTCAAGTCAGTTGTAATAAAACTATGCAAACAGTAGTTTTTCCAATATATTTTAGTATTCTATTTTGCAGAATCAGCTAAGAGACTTCTTTATACAGCGAAAGCATTGAAGAAAAATGGGTAACAAACAGGTACTAATAGACACAAATTTAACTTAGATGTACAAACCACAGCTCTGGAAATAAGTTTATATTTCTTATTCTACTAAATGTTGGTGGTATCTTTATAAAATTAAATTTAATTCCACAATATTGTTCTTATATACAGTACCTCCACATTATAGAACTGACCATGGAAATTTATTGCCTTATTGTGAATTATTTGAAACTAATGATTGTATTATTGCTAAAGGTATATGGCCTCTGTTTTGCTCAATAAATGTACAGGTTTTCAAAACAGTAGTTTATCAGAGAAGATCATGGCGGAAATATAAACTTAAAATGTATATTTGCATCAAATTATAAATGAACTGTATTATTGCCAGACTCTGCAACAGAAATTTCTTTATACTTGATTAAGCAACATCTTTTAAAATGTCCTTCAGATGTCCCTAGATTCATGCATGTGAGTTTGCTTGCAAGGATAGTATTACATTAGCTCCAGTCGGGAATGTTTTGTTTATACATGCTACATGTTACTTGCATATAATGAAGTGTATTTATTTTTCAAATATTACTTAAAATCGTGTTTTTCAAGACATTACTGTATCAGGTGATTTGGGCATTTATTTGAAGTAGGACATGAGAATAATAATAATAATAATAATAATAATAATAATAATAATAATAATAATAATAATAATAATACATATTTTAAGGACAGTATGACATTATATGAAGATGGCAATAATTATTGTTTGTTTTAACATGTTTAGTATTAAAACACTAAATTTCATTTTCTGTTAGAAATACATGATCATGATATCTCTTCTTAAACTCGGCAATATTTTCATATTTTTTTCAGCAGATTTTTATGTTGTGGAAGCTTGTTCCATAGAGTTGTATCAGAGTACTGGAAGCTCTTTTTAAATTGCACTTTTCTTGGTTTTGGTGCTAGAAGGTTTCCATGTAATATTGATCTCAACTGGCATTGTAAAAGGCCTAAACAAGTCCTGAAGATACTCTGGTGCACTTCCATGTAGACATTTATGTAAAAGAACTGCCTTGTGAAAATCTATCCTGTCATATATTGAGCTCTGTAAACAATGCTTTTGAGGGATGATCAATAGATGCATCTAAAATTACATGAGCTGCTTATTTCTGAAGTTTATAAATCCTCTCAAGATTTTGCACAGTTTCCCCATACATTTAAACAATAATCCATTGTTGGAAGAATATATGACTTGTATAGATTGTGAGTTTCTGTAGGTAAATATTTTTAGATTCTGCTGAGTAGGGCAAGTTTCATTCCATAATAAATTATTATCTATGAACACACCTACAAGCTTTTCACGTTTGACATTTTCTAACAGATGATATTTATTGCATGAGATTGCTATGGGTACCATGACTTGTGTTGTTTTTGCAACGTACCCAAAATCATACAATTTGTTTTTTCTTCATTAATTACCATCCTATTTTGTTGTGCCCATTTTTGGACTCTAATAATGTCTGAGCCCAATCACATTTTGATAACTTCAGTATCAGAACTATATGTATACAATGTTGCATTGTCTGCAAACAAATCTGTATTTGTGGATTCATTATTTAATGGTAGATCATTGATATAGATAAGAAAGAGGAGACGACCTAAAACTGAACCTTGAGTAACCCCAGAATGAATATTGTGAGTTTGAGAGCTAATATTGCCAATGCTTACTTGTTGAGACCTTTGGTTTAGGTATGATCTGAACCTGTTTAAAGAAGCAGAATTTCATGATCAACAAGATCAAAGGCTTTTTTGAAGTTAAAGAGAACAATCCCAGTCATATGTCCATTATCCTTGAGCCAAAAGATCAATTAATTTGGTAAGTTCTGTTTGGCACAAGTGGTACTTTCTAAATCCTGACTGCGCTTTATGAAATAGAGAGTAAGTTTCAAAAAAAATATATAGAAACTGAATGGCTACATGCTTTTCAAATAATTTTGGTAATAGTTATAATTGGTATTGGTCTGTAATTCCCAGGATCCTCCTTTTCTCCTTTCTTAAAGATAAGTGAAAGCTTTGCACATTTCATTGTTTCCGGAAAATTGCCACTAATTATACTTAAGCTTATGATATGCATTAATGACTTTGTTATTACTGGTAGAGCAATTTTAAGAATTCATGGACCAATGCCATATAATCCAGGGAATTTATTAATATTCACCTTAATTAGCATATCAAATTCATCTGCCTTGATCTCCCTAACTGATAAATGGCTTCAAGCACATGACCAAGGTAGAATAATAGAATATGTAAATGTAGATTTCAGGAAAGCTTTTGACATGGTGGATCATGAAATCCTTTTGAAGAAACTGAAAATCTACCAATGTGATTAAAGTACAGTTAGATGGTTTGCTTCATATTTAAGTGAGGAAACACAACAAGTTTATATAATGTTCTGTCTGAACCTGGAAAAATTAGATTTGGAGTACCACAAGGCTCAATTCCAGGTCCATTACCATTAAGGGACTTAGGATCATCTACAGATCTCTATGCAGATGACACAACTTTGTCAGACATCCAAAACACAAAGCATGAACTCAAAATTTCTTTACAGAATGCCCTAAACAAACTGGACAACTGGTGCACATGCAAAGGCATGGTGGTAAATACTGGTAAAACTAAAATATTACTTATCTCAATACAGCAAAAAAGGACAAAACTTGATAGTGATGAACTATGACATGGAAGGAGAGAAATTTGCAAATGGTCTGTCATGATAGACTGCTTGGTATTTTGGTCGACAGTAATCTATCATGGACTGAATAATAAATATATCTGAAAAAAGTTAATTCAAGTTTATGGCTTCTCAGTAGGATAATACACTTTCTCCCTGAAAGGCACAGAAAACTATTTTATAACAGTTACATACAACCCTATTTAGACTACTGTAATAGAGTATGGGGTAATTCAAATGATAAAAACTTAGCAAAGCTAGCACATCTTGAAAAAAAAAGAGCATTTGGGCTAATATCAGTCCAGAAAGGAAGGAAGGAAAATTTAGCTGGAATGTTTACAATCACTATTCCAGTATAGGCTACCTGGAAATACTCCCCACATGCAATCAATCTCTACCAAACAGTATAAAATTCCCAAATCAAATAAAGAATTATTTTTAAAAAAGTTTCCAATACTCTGTAACATTGCTCTGGATATGTAACTTTGAAACTTACAACTTTACTCAATTAACACCCCAATTAGAGTAACAGATAAAAGTGCTACTATCGTTGATCATGTCTATACTAATAAACCTGAAAATATAAGTGGAATTATTATGCCAGTGTACACAGTGACCAGTACCCAGTCTGTATAACTAGGCATGTTCCAAAATCCAAAACAGAGTGACCACTACCCAGTCTGTATAACTAGACATGTTTCAAAATCCGTCACCACAATGAAATACAATACAGGACTTTAATGTTTGATAAGGAAATGTTCTTAAATGATTTAGTTTAGTTTGCAAACGCTTCCACTCAGTCTGCAATATAGCTAATGTCAACACTGGTGTAGTTTTCATGTAGTCAATGTTAAAATCACCTAATATGATACATGTACTTTCTAAATCTTCTTTAGTAATGCTTTTTGAATTTGCACCTCAAATAAACTGAACACAAGTGTATTGGCTTTGATTGGTCAAGAGTTACTTAGATCCAGATACTCTCTATTTCAATAGTCTCTAGATCAACACATCTGTTATAACTAATGGAACTGTCTACATAGAGAAAAATACCCCACATTTGTAAAAATACCCCCTACATTTGTACACAATTTGGTATGTATTTGATATTATGTGTGCCTTATCCTTGCACAAATAAATAAATTTCTTTTCTGAACCAATGCTGCCTCTGGCTTGTGCTGTGTATTAGTCCCTCAGGAACCCATCTGGTTATAAGTATGAAATCACTGACATCCTTCACTAATAAAAGAAAAAGTCTCAGATTTCAAAATTGCTTTTCCAAGTCTTAAAAATGTTGGGAAAAATTAAAAAATTATTAAAATGTCTTGAAAAAGTCTAAAACGTTTGTTGTTACAGTAGAACCTGTCGTGAAAGACCACCCCTTATGCCAAATAGTTAGTCTCTCAAGACTTTTGGTCTCCCATAACGGGTCACAAGAAAGACCACTCCTTATGCCAAATAGTTAGTCTCTCAAAACTGGTGGTCTCCCATAACAGGTCACAAGACTATGTAATCTATGCATTGAGAATAAAGTCTCTCATAACAGGATATCTCACATAAAAGTGGTCTTTCAAGACAGGTTTTACCATTTTTAGTTGGAAGTTGGCATATATTTGGGAGAAGTTTTAGTATACAGCTTCAGGCAATTGTTTACTTTTTAGTCTGAAAAAGGTTTGGAAAACATCTGGTATCTTTTAAATTTGTGGTA